TAAAGAAATAAATGGAATGTTATTTATCCATCCATTATTTGTAATTCATCTGCACATAAACCGTACAGAAAGGTTTTTATTTTTAAGCGAGATTGTCAAGCAATATAATTAAACCCCAAAACCACGCACAATCAACAGTATTTTTTTAAAAAAAGAAACAATCTCCCAAAAAATCATTTTGGTTCAAAAATTATTCAAATTAATCTATTTTAATTCAAGTTATGCTCATTTAAATTTATATTGATTGGTGTTGACTGGTGTCTTAGATTTATAAAGCAATAATAATTCTGGACAAGCCAGCCTATTCTTCGCGAAAGTTTTCTCATGCCTAGATGATGTGTTTAATTACAATATAGCATTAAGATTGTGATTTGCTTTTGAAGATAATATGTTCATCTTTCAAAGAGTTTATAAAATAGATTCGAACCATCAATGAATTATTTATAATACTTATGGGAATTGGACATCAAATATGATCAAAAGGAGACAGTATAAATGGCATCTATTGTGTTTAAAATTAAAAGAAGAGGTCCAAGGGTAATAAATCATGAATGTAACACACACTGTAATGGTTAATATAATGGTTTCTATATGAGAGCAGTGTTTTCAAGATTATGATCTTGCCCTATAAAATAAAAGTCAATAAGCAATAAATTGTAATAAATGTGGGCTGGTCATTATAGGTCACTTGACACATCAAATATATAGGTCACAGAACGTATTCCAAAAGCCTGAAATAACGTTCCGATTAAAGATGAAAAATATACAACTTTTAGGAAATTCGTATAACTTCCGGTGTCCCATGGCTCTTTTTTTAGAGAAATATTGGTCTTTTGCATGGAAGTGTTCCATTAATTAACATCCATTTTACAGACGTCCAGAGTCGATCTATGAAGAAGTCACTGCCCCTATAACGGAATCCTTGTAAACACTAACGAAATTCAAGGTTGCGCGACGATTTTACAAGGTGTCTCCAAAAGTTTGTTAACGATTTACGGGCTGGATTGTTTTGGAATTGCTTTCCTGCTAGTTATGTGGAGAAATCCTATCGACATTCAGTGTCGCACATTGAATTTAAACGTAGTTTGTGTTTTAGTAAATGATCTACGGGCAACCTTGCTGAGATAATTAGCCTAGTCATGAGGACAAACCCTGTCGAAATTAAAGGTCATACTTCAATTCGAAGAGTTACGGCACCGCTTAACAAAACCTTGTAAACGCTGTACAGATCACAGTTTGTGACGCGGAATTTTTTCCCCTTTGACTTGGAACATTCTCCCTTCACAAAGTTGGCGATGTGTGTAATTTCTTTGATGGGCCATGCTATGTTTTAGGATTAATGTTGTCTCTAACCCATTCAGATCATCCACCATCTAGGAAAATTACCTATAATTGCAAATCCACGATTTAATTGGTTTGCAAGTTCGTGCTTAAAATTAATGGGATATGTAAATAAAACAGGTGACGGTTTGTAACGATTGGTACAGCAGCATAAATGTATATTTTGTTGTGTTAAGTAGAGTCAGGGTGTGTAGTATGTTCAGTATTATTATAGAAAATACTCGTACGTTACTTGACAGTCAGCCAATTCTAATTCTCTTATAGTATTGATATAAACCTAATTATCGTACACTCAAGTCGAGTTTATATATACTCGAATAAGTATGAATAAGTATGTCAGGATGACCAAAAACATTTATCTAAATATGTTACCCCGGATTTAAATTAACTAGCTAGAAAATTTCGTTTCGTTTTGTCTTGCAAATCAAATCTGTGTTAAATCTATTTGGCGCAGAATTATTGTTTCAAAATTGTCCACCTTTATTACGTGCATTTAATTTCTTATGCGAAACATCACATTATATCATGTAATAAAAAATGTTAAAAATAAATATTGATTCTTTTTGCTATAAAAGGAAAACTAATTGACATATTATTTTATGACATCAAAATTAGGTCATTTACGTCAGAACAATATTGTGTTATAGATCTAGCTCACAACATGTCTCACAACATGTCTTAAGTATACTGGATTCAGCGCTTGTCATTTATAACTACTAGTCGGCTTCTTTACCATCAAGGGGGCTTGAAAATTGTTCATACCTTAAACTCAAAATCGCAAAGTAAAAGCATGGGGTTAAGGTGATAAAACATCGGTTAATAAGGTCTTGTGTTCATGAATCATCTGTTGTTTGAATAGGTCTATAGCTAAGACGCTTTAATCCGAAAAGCATGGATGTTAAGAAGGTGGCCAAAATATGTTTAGTTTAGACCACCTGGTAAATATTGTCCGGAATCCTTTACATTCTTAACAACGGTCATTGTGAATAAGGTAAAGAACAAATCACCCATAATGGACCATTTTCATCACTCGTCAACTGGTTACCAGTTCAGCATATGGACCATTAGGGTATGAAGAACTTCACCCCAACCCCAGTTGACTGTCTGGGAAAGCAAATAAATCTCTTTTTAATGTTAGGTCACAAAAATAATACTTGTGTTGGTTCCGTTCAGTGTGTGTTTTTCATTTTTTTTTTTCATACTTGTCACTTCTGTTACACTTACTTATCCAAGATCAATCACGTCACATATTATCCATGTTTATATACATGTCAACAATATGTACTATTTGAATGTATTGTGTACTCGAGTAGGCCTACATGCAAGTACTAACGCATTCATTAAGAATGGACTAGTCGGCTTTTACGAAACAGAGAGAGAGAGAGAGAGAGAAATGGGATTTAACGTCCACTCGACACAAACTACTAGTAGGTCATTTCGGGACTAACATATGGTTTAATTTTATTTCAATAATTCGCTTGCGCGTAGGGGTCTTTAGCAGTCACGTACAACCGGGGATTCGAAACCACGCCAGTTGACTCAATGGCATGCCTTATGATACAGCGCGCACACGCTAACCATTCTGCCACCCAACCCCCCTTTTACGAACCAGATAGCAGAATTATTATAAAGTTATTTAATTTGTCCAAGGCACATCAACCCGACAGTTTGGAATCCATACAAACCAATATTAATATTGATAAGTGATTTAAATAATTTTTGGACCATAGTGTTTTTTTAATAATATTCATTGTATTTGGACTTCATATAATATTTGGACCATTGTCCAAGACACATCAACCTGACAGTTTGGAATCCATACAAATCAATGGTAATATTGATAAGTGATTTAAATAATTTTTGGACCACTGTAATTGTATCTGAATTGTATCTTTATATAATATGTGAACCATGTTGTTTCTTAATAAAAGTAATTGTATCTGGACTTTATATATAACTTTTATATAATATTTGGACCTTGTGTTTCTTAGTAAAAGTAATTGTATCTGGATGTTATATATAACCTTTATTTTTAACTTAGCATGTTGGGAATTTAATTAATAAATAATATGTGTGTAAGCGAGTCTTAGCATATCCATGCAGGTAGGCCATGCATCAATAATGGTCGTTATGTTTCACATGAGCCAAAACAGATGGCCAGTAATATTGACTGACCACGGGTCATTTATTTGTGTATACTAAACCACTATACTACCATCAAAGTGGTATGTTTGTTAGTAAGGAACAAACCGTTTTGATAAAACAATACCCAACACGAGTCTTCTATATATCATAGCTAATATCTAACACTCTCCACAGACGCTAGACACGTGTTGGTTAATACCTACGAGAATGACACGTGTTAATCTTCCCGCCAAGAAATGTCAGGAATGTAAAAGGTATAGACCTGTTATAGGATAGGTAGAACCCCATCTCAGGCGGAAGATCAACTTTTTAGATACGAGAACTGAGCTGATGGAACTTTTCATATTTAAATCAATGAAATTGTTTTTGACATCATCATATATCATGTTTATCGGTATACGAATTCTCGTGTCTACTATTATTGTATCAGATCGGTTATTGAAAGGTTTGAAATCTAAAATTATAGGTTTAGTTGTTATTAGGATGGAGGGTTTACGCAAATTTAATGTATATAGCTTATACTACACTACGACATTGACCTCTTCACCCATGGAGAATTTTTCCTGAAACTTACACCAAATATCTATATACCATTCATGCTTTAATATGTCTTACTTTAGAAAGCTGTTGGCAAAAATATAAAAGTGTACTTTGCGATTAACCGTATTAATCAATAAATAAATACATTCAGTTTGCCTAATCCAATAATGTGTGTACATGCGGAGCTTACCGTGGCTCAGTAAATAAGATGATTGGCTAACCAGGAGGTCTCAGTTTCATCCCGGTTCTGGCCAAGAAAGTTCCTCGGGATTTTCCAGTCTGATTTCTCCTTATCAGTGGTGCAGGATGTGGAGGGGGGGGGGGGGGGTGTGACAAAGAACTGCGTTTAGTTTTTCGAATGAATGAAAAACGAAGGTGCACGTAAAAATACAGTGACAGATGGAGTTCGACAAAGAGTAGACAGAAACCCTGCTGTCCGGGCAAAATTTGTCATAGTCTAATTAGAGCAGAAAAGTAGGGCGTTAAACCCATGTCATTTCATATGAACATGCATGCATATGATTTAAATTACATATCAATATATTTTAGTAAAACAAATGCCCTCTCAAAATCTTGATAAAAGTTATTTACGAAATCCAATTATAAATTATAAATCATGCAGCATTAACTGTGAATAGATGAACTAGTTCTAAAATCTAATGTATACCAATATACGTGGAGTCTACTAATCTAATGGTTTGAAGCTACAGTCTCAAAAATTTGACCGTTAAGTCCTAGTTTTTTGGGGATTTTTTCTTTACTATTCTGATTTGATAAAATCGTGTCACCCATCATAGTGATAGCAGTTCAATTCGAACTGAGCGGAATCGATAAGAGGCTGTAACTTCGAAATAAATAAAAATACTAAGACCTTACTCAAGAATGAACCAAATACAATTAAATACAACAGATGGAAAATAAAAACAGCCAACACACAAAAACTGATTACGTCACAAATCATGTGATAGTCTTACCTTGCGGAGCGGCGTAAAGGCCAACCACCGCGATGGGCTTCCTCCTTATCGATGACGTGTATAGTCATTGGAATTACTATGTCATTGCTAGGAAATCAAAAAAAATATAAAGAATAAAATAGATGCATAACTAGTCATTCAGTTAAATCATTGTCTCTGTTTTGAGGGTAGGACAAGCTACAAAGATCATATCCGATTTTCATAGAGAGACAATGATTTGAAAATTACAATAATAGTGAAAGTCTTAAGAATAACTACAGTTTGTGAAATCTAGCATTCTCTACTTATATAATTTATGATATTATAAAAACTAATGTATCAGCGAATCTGATTAAGTGTATAAATATTAAAGAAATTAAGATTTTTTTAATACATTCAAGAAAATATTTCTTTTAAAAATCTTCATTATATACTATAGAACAAAGAGAAAAAAAACATTTTAAAAGTGCTGAAAATAACCATGCGATCTTTATGCAAATAGTTTCTAGATAAAAGACAATATTTTTATTAAGGAATAATGAAAAAATGATCTTTTCTGATAGAGAAATGTCAGCTATAATTTCATAATAATATGGATCTTGAAAAATAAGCCAATGTCTTCCTAAAAGACACGTACAAATGCTGTGTAGATGGTCTCCAATACACATCCTCCAAATTCGATATTATACCTCAAAGACGTACCATTGACCAAAGGTTTGTGTGACTTATCAAAGGGCAGATGACACGACAAAACTTGACTGTGTAATCTATGACTCATATAAACTTCTATTTTTATACAAATTGATAGTACAAGGGAAACATGTACTAGAAAAATACCAAATCAAACAAACTTTATATTCCTACGATATAAAACATTAAAGAGGCATTATCAATCTCACCGAGAAATTAAATGAAAGTAATTTTCAATGATATCTTTCAAAATAACCCTAGGTTCACCTAATTATTATATAGAACCCAAACAGGAACCTACTTCAGATATTTTGCACGAGCATTCGTGAAACCTCTTGAAAACTACTAAAATATTTGTAAGACTCGAAAATGTGTATATCTCAAAGATGGTTCTGAAAATTTACCTCAGATTTTACATACAATATGCCATGCCCAACGTCACTATACTGACAAATTCAAAACCCCAAATGAGTCAGTGCTTTATAAACCCCACTTAATCATAACAGGACAGCTATTGCTAGATACAACATTCATGATGGAATATCCCCATGTAGGTCTGAATGACCAACCCCAATAGAATAACTCAATATAGATCAAGGCAAAATGACCAGTCTTATTACCAATTGTCGATTTAACTAAGCTTTGCAACTCAACTCTACTAGAAAACAAATAATGCATAAATATACTGATAAGAACACCTACAAAGTAATAAATTATAGAGTCCATTAAGACACCTATACAACAACTGCATTTGAACATTTGGCATTAAAACATTTGGACTGTTATAAAGGCTGCATATGATCTAAGTTTCTGTGCTCAATTTGGTGATATAACTCGCCACTTTAACTTCGTATTTTATACAATAAGCTTGACATAAATATCGTCTCTTATTGTGCTGTGCAATAACTTAATTCTAACATGAAACACAAATATTAACCTATGAGGCAAATATACACTCCATAAGGACGCCATTGTTACTTGATAATCTATCAAATTTATTTTCTTACTTTAAAGAAACATCAGAACGTCCCAGGTCTTCACCGGTTGGCAAAATATAATTTCTGGGTGTCGATTTTATATAAATTGACCATACAGTTACATCGGATATCATATTGTATGCAAATTTTAGACTAAATGGCCAATTACCTGTTTTGTCTTGTTCAGATTTCTAATGCCTCTTTAAAATAGACCATTTAAAGTCTTGTGATTTTTATGTTATCATCAATGTTTCCATTATAAAAAAAAGCTAATTTCAAATTGAATAAAATGCAGTACAAGTTAACCTGGTTTTTGTTTTCAATTTAATTAGAGTGTGATTATTTAATGGTTTCGCAAGATAATGCCACTTGGGAAATCATTTCTACATAGTTTGCAGACAGAATTCTGCTAATGGCCTATCTTTTTTACCTTGAAATGTCATACTATATGGATTATGGTATATTGACCAGTTGAGCAGCTTTTCATTAATAAGTGCATAACTAACAAGACAAAATGACTTTTTAAAAAAAATATGATTTATCGTATTCCGGGGAAATTATTTTTCAAAAAGAAACAAACGTATCTAAATGTTTGCCATTTTAATGTGAAGTGTTCACGAATAAAGCATGACTAGTTCCAACATCAAATCAGAGCAACATGGAGAAAATGTGTTTATTTAGCAAGAAGATATAATTGAATAATTGGGAATTGACAGCCGAGCTTACACCCCTACTTATTTATCACTATAATAGATATCAAAGAATGAATTCATTTCAAAACAAACAAATATAGTATTATCTTCATAATATGTCAATAAAATAACACGCATGTGGGTCAATCTGATCATGGTAATAAAAACCAGATAATGGTTTGTCAATAGCATACTTCAAACTCTCGAGATAACCTACGGTTACCTATAACAACACATGCTCTGTTATACTGAATGACACGAACAATTAACAAAAAGAGCACCCTGGTACAGGTCATACCAACTTGACCTACAGGTAAAGAAACAATGCTTAGTATTGACTATTACAGTAGTGTTAAAACCAATGTCTACTTGTGTTAAAGATATTGAGAATCAGTTGTGTCATCACTTGTGTTAAAAGACTCCCATTCCACCAATTCACGTTAAAAGCTAGTGTTCTAGTGTTACTGCATTTGGGGATATGTTATAAATTCAGTTGTGTAGTCATCTGTTAAATTAAAGTGCCACAAATTCATGTGGGAAACTAGTGTTCGAGTGTTATAAGGGAGGTGATATGACGTTTTATTCCAATCAAAGTAAGACCTAGAAGTTCTAATGCTCTTGAATCGTTCTGAAAGCGACACTTTTGCCAATTCCAAACAATCTGGATGTTGTATGGCAGCCATCTATAGCATGCACAAACGGAAGGTATTAAACTCTGTCAATAAGCAGAATTTCATAGATTTTGTGTTGTGAACAACTTGAAAAGGATAATATGAAAACATAAAAGGCGAGAGGGGATGTCGATATGCCCATTGCCTAGACAGGAATCGAGCGTGCTCTGTCAGGTAGTACCCGTGGTTGGGGGGAGGGGGCACTGACCTTTTGGTTCTGCTGTTGCCTCTCGCAAAGCTAAAGATGCCCAACTTGGTTTTTAGGTCTTACAAGGATACACAACTTAATAATAAGTCCAGAGTTGGTTGTTGGAACATCAACTTGATCCCTCCCGTTTCTGCATGTCATAGCTGGATATCGCTTTCAAAAAGATTCAAGTGGATTAGAAGTTCCGCAAACATGTCGATATCTTTGTCCGCAAAATATCCACAAATGATGGGATTCAAGCTGCGCGCGAAGAGGTCATGGTGTGTTTGCATGGTGGGCAAACAATTGAAACACTAGAAAGCTTGCGTATGCGAAAGATTACTGAAAAGGTAATGAAAAGCTTGTCCTGTGTCCAGTTTCAGAACTTGCCGCCGACTCCCCATGTTGCAAAGAAGAGGGGCGGTGACAATCCTAAAAATCATCCACTGTGACTGTAAAGTAGAATGTGACACAGCACAGTGCGCCAGTAAGGGACACGGTTTAGCTTGTACTGACCCAGGCAGCGAATGAAAAGGTAGATAAACACTATTTGGGACATGTGATAGATTACAAAGACTTTACCAGAAATGGGGCAATTCAGGACTGCACTGTAATTTAATGCTCATGTGATTATTTACATTTCAATTTCTATCAGTTAATTTCATCAAAGGAGTCAGTTTTTTGAAAATTATATGCTGACATCATCATTTAACTTCTAAATAAGTCATGATGACGTCATGGGGTTGCTGTATGATAATTTCTGACCCGACATTCTGCTTTGCAAGGGATATTTTTCTATCTGTAATATATTCATAAGGTGAAAATTCAACATTAAAGGATCCCATGAACACAACGGTACCAAGAAACTTTATGTTGCAATTTGTTCTAGGTTGCAATAAATTTACCATAGATTGACTGTTACAAACACACATTTGAGTCGACTAATATTGTGATTTTATAAAGATTTTGACAACATTAAAGCCATCTATGGATGTGGTTTTAAATAGAAAAATCTCTACTAGGAATTATTCATTACAATAAAATTCACTTTTCACTAACAACATTACAAAAATATGAATTTGTAAACAGGATACATAATATCAAAGTATGACCGTGGAGACTTATCATTTGAAGTTCACATATTCACCAAAAAAATCCCGCGCGACAAAGTGAGACAGTAAAAATAAGTATAACTTTGGATTACTTTCGGTCATTCATGAATACCTGTAGATTAACTCGTTAAACCATGAATGAACAAGTTGACAAGATGCTGGGCAAAACAGTTTTTAATCAACGGTATTATTATATTCTCAGTGAAGCTGTCAAGAATGTTAACTGGCTCAAGTATAGACTTTTATCATATGGGAAGTGTTAATACCAGATACCATAATGAACATTTCTCGAACAAAACCTTGGTATACGCACAATTAACGTTTTCTTATACACCCGTGTGTGTATGAGAGTGGGTGTGTGTGCTTAGATCATTTACCTATACAAGTCCATTGTGCGTGAAAAATAGTACGATCGTCTGTTTGCTGGGTATATTTCCGTTTCCTTCCATTTCTGAAGAGGCCCTTGTACAAGGGAATTTTTTAAGTAATTTGGTTAGTCAACGGGTGGAGGTCAGCCCGCCCCCCCCCCCCTCTCCTCGCTCTCCATGTAAAGGTAACCCGATTACGTAACGAACGAGTGAACGTGAACCGAGTGCATATTATGAAACGAAGGTGAAAACAGGAAATCCTTTATTTAGAACTTCTTGGTTATTTATTTGGGTACAAAAGTAGTTTTTCTTATGCACAAAGTCGTCTTTATTTGTCATGTCAAAGTTTATAGATAGCTCGTGGCTGTGTATATCATGACTCATAGTTTCACCTTGCTAAACTGATAGATC